TTCCCTGGAGAAATAAATTGGCTTTTCACAGTTTGTTTGGTTTTTTTTTTTACCTTGACCCTATTGTACTCCATATTCACATAAGCATCAGACTTACAAGCATATCTTTGAATACAGATCTTTGCTACCTCCTTGCTGTTATCGCTCTGTGTCAATGTGCATTGAGATTGCAGAGGGTGATAATGTCTCTCCTACAAAGGAGAGACATGGAACTTTGGCCTGCCTTGCCTACTAACTCTTTCAGCTACCTGAAGGGAGATGATGGTGGAAGAAAAATCTGAACCAATGCTTTTACAAGGACAATTCCTCTTCCATAAAACATCTCAGGCCCAAACAGTTAGGCTGCTTCACAACGGACCAGTCTGTATTTAATGTGGAAAGGAGTATTGCAGTGTGTGGAATTCCTTCTGTCATCCCTGTTGAGGTGACATCGTCACATTAGAAGTTTAGAGCAGTGATGGGCAGGCTACAGGAAAGCCAAGGAATGTGAAGTTGGACTGGAACAAGTAGAGGAAACCTTGCCTGTTTCACAGGATGCTGGGCTGGTTTTAGTTTTGAAATAGGAAATTTTTGGGAAATGTTCTCTGATCGGAGAGTATTAAGATTTTGTCTAAGGTAATGAGAGTGTACATAGAACCCAGAATCTTTCTGCATTACAGGTACTATCAGCTCCTGCTGGAAAATCTGCACTTTAGCTTTCCTCTTCCTGCTCTTCCCCAACTACAAGGCCTATGGGTGGGTTTTGAGCTGTTTTCTGACTACCTTGTTGGATGCTGTGTGGCGGGGAAATGGCTGACTAACGTTGGCCAGTCCTGCCTTGTGTTGTGCTTCATGTGTGCATCTGGATCCTCCTTCAGCCCTCTTCTACTCTCTGCTGCAGCAGAACTTGCATACACTTCTTTGAAGCAACTTGTGCCTGCTTGTGTGATGGCAAGTTGGCACAGCCAATACTGACACGAACATCAGAAAGATGACATAAAATTTCTTTTCAGTGCATTTGCAGAAAGGATGAAGCAGGTGCTTACTTTCTTCTAGGAAATACAAACCAAGGATGAAAGCTGCAGATGATTTGGGATATTGCTATGGAGAAAATGAGCAGAAAAACATGTAGATTAACTTGAGATGATACTACTGTCTACTTTAGAGACAGTCTCGTTCATTCGTTTGTTTGTTTGTTTTGAGTGATTCAGCATAAATTCCTCCTCCAGAATGCTATAGACAAACTTGCCTGTACTATCTTGGCTTGAGGAAGGCTGTATTTTTTGCTGGCTTGGAGAAATTTGAGGTCTGGAATTGTGTTTTCCAGTGTGGAATTCCTTCACTATCTTGAAGGCCGTGCTCCTGGGATGATTACCCACTCCTGTGTGCTCTTGCCCCCACTGCCAGACCCACAACTGGGCCACGGCTCCCTCCTCTTCTCCAACCTGTTTGTTTGTGGTGTTTGATAAAAGGTTCCTCCTTTGACTTCAACAAATTCCTCACTCTGATGAGGAGAGATACAGAATGCTCCAGGGTTTAACTCAGCAGACTGAGTTTAGATGTCTTGTTAAGACTAGAGGATTACATCTTTTAATTATTTACTGCCTTTGATTGCAAAAGGAGTCTTAGTTGGATAAGTGCAGACATCAGGAGACATCTATGCTGCAGGTATTTATTTGTGAAGACAGATGAGGTGAATCCCACCTTAATGTTTGGGTGACGTGGACTGCTCTCTCAGATGTAGGTGCATTGGCCAACAGGTAAAAATGATAGCTGGGAGAGCACTGAGTGATGGGCTCAGTGAGGCTGAGTGGTGACAAAGTTCTATTCTACATCCTCAGTGCTTGAAGGTCTTCTCTAATCAAGAGATTTGTGTGGGTCAGCACAAGAGTCCTCTTTGTCAATGAATAGCGGAGCCTGCCATGTCTCAGTTCATTTTTCTTTATTTGATATGTGCTTCTATTCCAGTGACAATTGACCCTCCCTGCAGCACATGATGTTCATTACTCTGCTTGTATTAGGCTGAGTGTAAAGGACTCCAAGGAAAGCCAATACCCTGCTTGCTACAGATGCACAGAAACCATCTGCCTAGAAGAGTTGGAGAGTGATCGCTGCTGTAATCTCAGCTCTTGGGTAACTGAGGCACAAACAGGATTGCATAAGAAATCATTGGCAGATTTGGAGAGCCCCAGAAGAGCCCCATCTGTTGGTTCCTGATCCAGCTTGGGTTTTGGCAACATGAGGACTGCAGTAGGTTTTGGGAATGGGGAACCTGTGGGAGTAACTGCTGAGAGAAAGGAATGCAGAGATTCCTGCCCAGGAAAGATGTTAACAAGCCAGAGGAGGAAAGATGGAATCTTTCCTTGTTGCTGCAGTTGCTCCATCCTCCTCCCATGCACTCTGAATGCCAAGGAGCTCTGTTTGCAGCCACTTGCACAGAGGTGAGTGGGAGTCACCAGAACATGTCCTCATCACATGTTCAGTGAGCTCTGCTCAGCTTGCAGGCATGAAGCTGCCAGGGGCTGTTTTGAGGTCATTACCCCTGGAATTTGCTCTTGATTTTCATTAAGAGGCAGGCCGCTGAGAAAGGGTTGCTATTTTCTACATGTCCCTAGGGATTTCTCAACGGAGCAGCAAGTAAACTTTCTGTTTACTTTAACAAATGGCTTTATACATTTCAAGTCTCTGTACAGTTCCTTGTTGATGCAACAACAGTGTCCTAAGGCGAACAGTAGTTCATAAGGTGCATTTCCTGCCACACGGGTGACCTTTCTTGTAATTGAAACCACAAGTGGCAATTTTGTAATGTTCTCATTTGTTTTCAGCATTGGCTTTAAAATTCTGTGTGTAGTGGAAAGGGTGGTGGAGGAATAAGTGTCTAAAGATGCTACATTCACTGAAACTCTTTCTTATCCTTCTAAAATAGGGTGAACTTTTGTACTTACTGTTCTTACAAAGAGCTAGTAACTAGGAGGGTTCCTCTTAAAAGATGTTACTTGTAGGTATTTTTCGGATCTTTTCTTAAAAGAGTTTCTTAAAAAAGTCACGATCTACAAGGTGAACTATTTTGAGTAGCTAAAATTAAGAGACCAAGTTACAGTGCTACACTGACCTCTGTTGGCGCCATCCATTCTTACCGAATCTTGCCCAAATGCTGAATTTGATACTTTCGAAACTTTTCTCTGCAACACCCTAAAGCAAATTTGACTGAATATGTCTTTTACAACACAGGCTTCATTCCTCTGGAAAGAGCCTGCTGGGGGAGCAGGGCCTTAAGCATCAGAATCACAGAATCACTACAAAATGGCTTAGGTAGGGAGGGACCTTAAAGATCATTGAGCTCTAACTCCATGCTATGGGCAGAGCTGCCCCCCACCAGCTCAGGCTGCCCGGGGCACCATCCAACCTGGTCTTGATTGCCTCCAGAGAAAAGCTTCTCTGCAGAGAAGCTCTGGGCAGCTGTGCCAACACCCCACTGCTCCTGAGTAAAGAATTTCCAACCTAACATATAATCTAAATCTCCCCTCTTTTAGTTTTCAGCCATTCCCCCTTGTCCTATCACTATCTGCCTATGTAAGAAGTTGATCTCCCTCTTGTTTATAAGCTCCCTTGAAGTACTAGAAGGCCACAATAAGGTCTCCTTACAGCCTTCTCTTCTGCATGCTGAACAAGCCCAACTCCGTCAGCCTGGTGGAGAGAAAGAGGCAGTTCTGGGTTGCATTCGGTCTGGTCTTAGTTTGGGATGTCACAACTTGCTCTCAGGGGGTGCTACGTAGCTGGGAATGTCAGATGAATTTTGCCATTTTGGATCTGAGCCATGTGATCCAAGTTTGCTTTGGATAAATTTCCAGGTGACTCCAAGATCCGATAGATGAAGTAGTCAGTGTGCTGCTGAGGAGCATAATACCCTCTGGAAAATGAAGAGTGTGTGTGCAGGGAAAGGTGACAGTGGGATGTTACAGTGTGAACTTGGTTGCTCTATGAGGAGCCTTCCTTTGACATCTGCCCATACAAGGACTAAGTATTTGGGGATTTTCTGCTTAGGAGCTGTCTGAATTTCTTGCAATTCCATGCAGGCACTTGTACGTACAACTTGGAGAGGCATTGTGTGTCTTTAAGAAACTCCTCCACAGACAACCAGGGCTACTAAATATCTGTGAGGGGAAAAAAAAAATCCATTCTTCATTTGGAGTTCTGCTAGTTTGTATGCATTTCAAAGAGAAGCCATGGCTGCTGCCCAAGCTCTAGCCCTAGGAGGTATGTACTAAAGAAGAGTACAATAAGATTCAGGCTGTTCTCCAGATTTCTTACCAAGTGAGCAAAATTGTTAGCTTCTGTTTGGAAGTAAACTTGCTGAATTGAGACAAGACAGGCAACAGTACGCAGTGACATGCCTATTCCTGTGCTGCTAGAAGTGCAGGCTGAGGCTGCTGCTCTGTCAGAATTTCTGAGTCACGTTTTTATAGCCTGAATTGAGAAAGCTCATGTAAGAGATCTTATGGCCTTCTACATCACTCCACACTTTGGCAAGACAATGGTCTGACATTTTGCCCTAAGTGTTGGATTAAACAGTATTTGGAGATTTGTAAACACTTCTACTTAGCTATGATTAGCATGCCAAGGCCTTACATAAGCTGGGGACTTCTGCTGTTGGGGTGGTTCCCCTAATGCATGCTGTTAAGATAGCAGCTTGCCCTGTCTGTTTGCACCACTGTTAGCTGGCTCTTCTTTGAAAGCACTGGTGGAAAGCCTAGATGAGAAGATCCAAGGGAAAGGCCACACACATCCTGACCATCAGCTCTTGCTATCAGGGCAAAAGTAGGTGGTAAACAGAGTCTACAGACAGCATTTTAGGAAAAGTAAGCTGTAAGTTTGCAGTTCTGTTGCATACAAGCGTTTTGATACGGGCTTATAACTGGTCTCGGCTCTCTGAGGCGTCATACTGCGGCAAGCAGAGCAATGAAAAGACCACTGCACAAGTGTGCTCATCCAGCTATATCCTACATTTCTTGTAGAACTGCATGGTCCTAAGCTCTGCCTGTAAGAAAAAAGGGACCTGAAGGAGGCTGCAGGAGAAAAGGGAACTGCACTTCTCAGTCTCGTGCTAACAGCTGCAAGCCTGAAATCATTTGGGGGATTTTACGTTCACTTCAATTTTAAACATGAGGAAGTTCGGGACTGCAGAGTGAGTAGTTTTCATGTATTTTGATGGCTTATGGATATTTTCTCAGAACAATCTTCATTATTGTGTGAACACTTTTCCCCTTTTGTTTAGCCCTGCTATAATGGCATAGCTCTAAGTAATGATCTTATTATGTACTTTCAAGCAGTAGGAACGTGGCAGCAGCATGTTTCCTTCCCAGCAGCCTGCTTAATTGGAAAATAAGGATATGGAGTCAGCAGAGCCACGTTTCATTTTTAGCCACTCATTTTCTCTCTAACTGCTGAATCTCATCTTTATTTCACTACAGTGTGGTGGCATCTTCTTTGCCTGCCTATTTGACAGTGTCACAGTGAATGATATATTTAAAATTTCTCATACTTTCTACCTTAGATAAAAAGCTTTCAATGCCTTCAGCTGCCCCTGTCCTGGATTATAGATTCTTTTCTCTCTGTCGTCCAAATTAGAGGGCCTGCTCAAACTCCTCTTGCAGAATCAAGAAAGAAGTTGAGCTGATTTGATCTCAGCTATACAAATAGCATGCTAGGCGCGTTCTTTGCTTTCTGAAGATTTTCAAGGGAAGTTAGCTTGTATTCAGAACTTTCTGGGATAAAAGTGAAGATATGGTAGGAGGAGAGTTGGATGACAGTGTGGTTGCATGTACCTCACTTGCTAAAAGGATACCTAATCTAAACCTCAAGTTAGTCCAGCAAGGTCTATTTTGCACAAATAATTTTGGTTGAACTTACTTTCTGATTTAAAATGTACTGGGTTTAAAAAAAATTCAGGAGAGATACAAGATAATGTGATTTCAAAAATCTTATTTCCTCAAAAAAAAATTTAAAAAAATCAAGATAGCTAACTAGTTTTTTTTTCTGTCACCAACTGTTTGGCTTTGTGTTAACTTCTCCTGGGCTGGTAACCAGGTTACGGAGATAATTTCTTTTGAGCTTTGCTTCCGTATGGGGGAGAGACTGAAAATAAGGGTCTAACTCTGTAGCCTGATACCAAGTTTTGTCCACGCCAGGGGTCCCTATAAGAAGATCCTAAGACCATTTCATGACTGGAAATGCTTCAAGTACATTTGTAGCAATGTGAATTTGTAGATGGTGGTTGTGATCTCACCCACAAATGGAATGAACTTCTCTCATCCCTATAGCATAGCTTTTCAGTCACAAAGAGTTAATAGGCTCAGCAGCACACAGTTGAGTGTGCCATCATGTTCTTCACGTGTAACCAAGGAACAGGAAAAACTTGCATTTCAACTTGCCACAGATGTCCTTGCTCCCTGCAGCTTCTAACACGTGTACTGCAATAAATGCACTAATACTCTCCTGTAAATGCACTTCGTTACTTTATTACTGTAAATTGCTTAGTTGCCACTGCCACAATCAGTGCAGGCGGCACAGTTATGGAGACACACAACTGTAAGAAAAATTAACTTTGTTTAGACAGCAAAACTTGGCAGGAAGATCATAATCCTTGGAAAAGCCAATTGCCAAGACTTGTGTAGGACACGATTTGTTTATAACAGCCAATGGATGATTTTCCTCGTAGGGAGATATGCAAAGTCCTACCAGGGCATGGAGTAGTTAGAAAAGTTTTAGTGCACCTTGAATCCAATTGAAAAAATGATAGGCTTTGGTCTTAGCTAGAACAGCTCCTCTGTACCTTCTTGTTTCTCTTGTTAAACACAAACACAAACAGCAGATGTTGAGCTCCCAGTGCATGGTGGTGGCTTTTTGCCACTGCCTTTAATAGGAGGTGGTTTGTTAATGTTGTATTTTGAGGCTTGGTAAATCTGTTTTTGTGGCCAGACGGCACTGCATTCTGTATGCTGTGCTAGTAACATCCCCTAACAGGAATGCCATATGACAACTTGAAGAGTACTTATTATTCTTAGAAAGTTTGGGAGAGGTGAGCCATTACTGAGTGTATTTCTGGATAGTGATGGATAAACTCAGGCAAAATAAAGCATACCACAGACTTGGCTGTGGGTGGGAAGTGCTAACAAGAATGTCTGTACATACACTTCTAGCAGAGTTGTTATCCAGAGTATGCAAGAGTGGGATTTACCTGTAGCTGCAGCACGTGTGTATCTTGTGCAATTTTTCAGCTCTGCATTCCTGATATAAGCTTTCAGCAAGTACCTATGGAAAGCAATCTACCAGTAGATAGCTATTTTTAGGCCATGGTAACAGAAAAAGAAGACACAGTAATATATATTCAGTAGTTTATCTGTACTATAAATTACTGCACTGTCACTGTCGTGTTTTGTTACTTTGTAATAAAGGAAAAAAAAGTAATAGAGGACAAAGTATTTTGTTAGGTCACTTGGCCCTTTTAGAACCGCTTAATACATCATGTTTTCCTGTTGCAGATCTTAGCCTTTATTGTTAGCAGTGTTTGACCCAGACTGACATCCTGAGCTCAGCTACCAGTAGCCCTGTACCTCTAGCCTCTGCCTCAGATGACTTGTACCATTTGCAGAGTGATGTTCTGTTGGAGAATCAGCCTCTACTGCAGGTCACTACAGATCGTGCCTGCACTGCCCTGGATGTCCATTCTTGTATGCTTTTGCCTATATGGCCAGATGCATATGATATGCATGCTGAGACCAAACTTGAACAAGTTCACCTACATAAATGCAACAGATGTGATTTTGCAGGGCACGGAGGAGGGCTGCTTTTGCACAGAGCACCCAGTTCATCTGACCTTTATTATTCTGTTGGTAGGGAAGTCACTTCATGAGTGAAAGATCTTACTCCAGGGCAGGCTGTGGTTACAGGGACTGGCAATGCTAATCAGTAACGCATGACATTGAGGGGGTGGGGGTGAGGAACAGGAACAAACTTTTAGACAATATTTGGAGTTATTCCCCAAAGATTCATTATGAGACCAAAGCCATCAAGGTTTAACCTGCATGAAATCCACAGGAATTAGGCCTGGTTGTCATAAAGATCCAGACACCCTTAGCTTCAGCCTTTGTCCAGTATCAAATGTACTGGAAATGTGTCCCTTAGGATGCAGATGCATGGTTTTCACAGCTGATAACAGGAAGAAGGTCTGATGTTGATCAAGATTGTTGGAGGACATAAGGCTTACTCGCTCAATTTTGCCACAGTGATGGATTTAAGTTGAAGGAGTCCTTGCCACTTCTCCCTGCTGACTGACACCAGGTTAGGAGCTGCACACAGGACAGATATGGGCAGGGCACAGTAATGCCACAGCTCCCTTCCTGCTTGGGCTGCTGCACATCATGCCATCCTGTAGGAAAGATGTTGCTCTAAGTTGCTGATTCAGCTTCTGCAGGGGGATCAGACTGTCATAGAAGAAGATTGTTTCTGACCTTTTCCAACTATTAAAAAAAAAAAAAGAAAAAGGAAAAGAAAAAAAAAGAAAAAAAAGAAAAGGGATTAATGTAGAATAGGGAGCGTGGTGAGAAAATAGTTGCCACAGCCCAGATTGGCTGTATCCACATAATTTTGAAGGATAATCCAGGAAAAGGACTAGGAAAAAAAGCTTAGAAAAGAGGGGAATGGAAGGAGCAGGTTTCCCTTTTTCACTTCCTGTAACTGGAATCCCTTTTAGCAGACAGGAATGCAATATTTTCACTGTCCCCCTAGTTTCTAGGTAAATGGGTTCTCACCACACAGGGTGAATGAACAAAAATGCCTGATTCTCTTCTTGCTCCTATCTTAGCCTCTAAGTCTGATGACAGAGATTTCTTTATCCCCTCCTCCAACCTTTTCTTCTATGACATCACGAGCATCTTTCCTGTGCTTTCACATGCTAGTTGGTCTTCTGTGGTCTCCAGATCCAGTGGTCCAACAGACAAAGCCAATTACCTATTTGAAAGACAACATGAACCAGTAGTTCCTCATGATTCCTGTGCCATTTTATCTTTCCTTGTCCAGCATACCTAACTTCAGCTGCAGGACTCTTGCCAGCTTGGTGTCACAAAGTGACTGGTGCAATTTTCATACAGCTAGAAGATGGGGCAACCTGAACTAACCTGGCCATCTCAATCCTTTTCCTGCAGATTTACCCTTGATTCTCTAATTCTCTGAATTAGCTGAATTTCTTGACTATGACTATGTGACACAGTACTGCAGGCTTGGAGTCAGCACAGCAACAGAAAGCCCCAAAACAAGAACTGAGAACCAGAAACCAACTCTGGGCAGGCCTGACTTGATTTTTTTCCCTAGAGCCCAGGCCTTGTGACTGCCCTGAGTGCTGCTGTTGTAGGTCCCACTGTAGTTGCAAGCTTTGCTGTTGTTGTAGGCCCTGCTGTTGTAAGCCTTGCTGCTCTTGCAGGCCACCTCCTCACTGTTTCCTCTGCTCTCAGGAGTCATTGCAACTGCTGCTACACAGCCTCCTCTCTGAAATATTAAGCTACCTGTTTGTTCCTGAGGACAGAAACTGGGTGAAAGATTAGAGGATTTATCAGTCAGTTAGAGCAGGAACAAACACATTGCTGGGGTGTTGCGAATGTCCGCAGAACAAACAAACACCTCAAATGTTGGCTAAAGCTGTTGAAATGCTTGGTGACATTTCTGTATGTTACAGCATAGGGGAAAGGTGATGTGTAATGGCTGAAAATAGTAATAATAATAATTAAAAAACAAAACAAAACAGGGAGGGAAGAAAAAAAATCGCATGCAATATCCCGAGTGTTGAAAACATTTTAAAAAACCTAACAAACCTGAAAGTCATCTAAAACACTGACTGGTTTCTCTCAGGCTGAGTGCAATGTATTTTGGGCAGCCAGGTCTGAAGAAATGTGTAAAGTCCAGCTTAAGCTTCTGGTGTCACTCTGACTAACAAACCAGAAATGTTTCACTCTGATCCACAGCTACAAATTAGATCCGCATTTTTGTCAAGATACAGTGCCGAATCCTGTGTATCTGCCTGTTTTTGATGCTCTCAAATGCTACCAGCTTTAAACCTTTTCATTTCTGAATGCTTCAAAAGCTCCTTCTGGGTAAGAGGTTCTTTGCCCTGTATTTCTGTGCTCCACTATCAGGCTTTTAAATGCAGACACTTATTTTGCAACTGTGGTGAGAAACCCTGGGCTTTCACCTCCCCCATGTTCTTCATCTTGAAATCTGCAAATATTGCTGAAGGCTATCCTTGCCTTGACCCTTCCTTGGGAGATGTGCTTATTCAGGGCTTAATTGTTTGCTGATTAATTTCCTGTCATTCCTCCTTTTACTGGCTTCCTAAATCCCCCTAGTGAGTTTCTGGTCTAGGGGTTAAAACATGAGTCACTGTGCTGACATTTCCAGTAATTCCAGAGCAACTTAAGAAAAACTGAGACCCAAACTCAGACTTGAAAGGGTATGGGTTAGAGAGGGCTTTTTCCACTGAGGTGAGACCTGCAAGAGTTCTTTTCATGTGGATCAACAGAGACTTCATATCATTACAGCTTGAAGTCTTGTTTTTATGCTTGCAGAATAAAATGTTTTGGGATTTCAGTTCCATGGTTCTTTCTTTGTTTTCTGCTGTTTGCATCAAATCAACACAAAAATAGCTTTTAAATTTCCCTCTCCATAGCCATATTTTCCCAGATAATCCTGACAACGTCACCCAAGTTTGCTTCACAAGTGCTTTACATTTTTCCATCATGATAGCATCCAGAGGCTACCTGGTTACTCTCTTGTCAAACCTTCACAGTCATAACTTTCTAATGAAGGATTGAGGTTTGTTTTTTTTTTTTCTCTTAACTTTTCCTATTTGAAATACATACCCATTTATTTTAACTCACAAACAGCATGACAGTAGTTATCCTGTAACTGTTCTCAGCCATTTTCTGTCATACTGGGGCAAATCCTCCCAGCATTTAAACAGCATTTGATTACCCTCTCTGTTGCTCTATTTCATCCCTCTTGGTGCTCTTTTTGTGCTTAGCTTCACAACCAGTCACAGGTCTATTCTGTATCTGCAGAAGAGACTTATCAATGGGCAACAGTGTGAGCTGTGACACTGCTGTGAATCCTCAGCAGCTCTGCTGCCCTGGGACTCACCAAGGGTTTGGCTTGCTCATCTGAAACGTCAACCCAGTCTGGCTGCTGTAGCCACTGCAAAGTTTGCTCCACCAAAATGAGATGGTGGAAAAGAAACACCTGGAAAAGATACCCTTGCATTAAGAGGCCCAGCACAGCAGCTGGTGACCCATGTGGAAATCTGTCCTACAGTAGAGAAAGAGTTTGTTCTCTTTATTCGTTCTTTTGCCTGTTGGACAAAGCAGGCAGTTAACGTACTATTCATACACGTTCGAACTATTTTGGAGCTGGTAGGTTTCCAGTGCAGCTGCAGGGCTGTTGAAGGCTGTCCGCAGGCGCTCCTTCCCTCCTGCAGCAGTACGCTCTCAGCCCGCTGAGCGTCCCACCGGCGCTCGGACTGGCTCCTCCCGCCCCGGCACCTTTCACAAACCGGCCGCCCGGAGCCGGGAGGGGTGGGGTCGGGCTTCTTCCCCTTTGGGTCCTGCTCGGGTGCCCCGAGAAGCTGGGATGGAGGCGAGGCGGCTGCTCCGGGTGGGTAAGGCGGGAGCGGAGAGGGAGGGGGAGTCTGGCTGCCCGCGGTGAGATGGCAGGGTGCAAGTAGAGGGTGCTGTAACGCCGTGCGGTGTTTTTCGGTTTTGTTTTCCTCCTTTCCACCTGGGAATTCAGTCCTCGTCGTTGCAATCAGTGTAATTCACATGAAAATCTCTCGTGTAATTACCGTGGCGTTGGTTTGCTCCCGGTTAGGCTGCAGCCAATGCTTTAATTATGTCATCCGACGTTCGCCAATCTCGTTTTCCTGGCGGCATTTTGCAGCGTTTGGCCGTCGGGTCCCTGGCACACCCGGCCCCTCTGCCGTGCTGGGAGCATCCCGTGGCGATGCCACCCGAAGCTCTTGGCGTATTTCAGCCTTACTGCTTGTTTGTTGTCTGCGTCCCGGCAGAATCCTTGCGTTGTAATTAAGCTGAGTTACACGATTAGGTTAGAAAGCGGGAGGGAGCTCGTGGGGATTGAGGGTGGTTCGTCGTGGCAGCAGCGTGCAGAGGATGGCTTCTCCTTCAGGTGCTTGGGCGGGGAGGTGGGAATAAAGGCACTGCTCTCCTTTGCGGAGTTCGAGATTTACTTATGAAAAGCAGTAGCTAGCTGTTGCAGTTTCACTCTTCCAGGCGAGTTTTGGTTTTGCCTTAAAGGACATGCTGCATCCTAACCATGAGGTGAGTTAGGAGGTAGTTATATGAGCATCTAGGGCTTGTGTTCTGCAGGAACACAGCCAAAACCTGGTTTGATCTCTTTTCATTAGCTCAGTCTTGCTATTTCTGCTCCCCACTGGCTTCCCCAAGCCCAAGAGAGCTTGTTGTCCCACCATGGTCAGGGTAGCGGCAGCAGCTTGTGCCGTCTGGAGGCCAATGGTCAGCTTCCATAGGGAGTGAACATGGCAGAAAACCTCTGCTGAGAAGTGTTGATAAGCACTGGTTTCTAGCCTTTAGTAAGTTTGGCTCGTTGAAAGGTTAGTGGAAAACAAAGGCTGGGTGAGCCGAAGGAAAAAATCCCAGATTACATGTAGGATGCTAGGGCAATATCACTGGGCTTTTCCCTCCAACGCCGTGATATTGTCAGTATCTGAGCTCAGCTGCAGGAACTCGATTGGACTGATCCAAAGCCTCATCAACTGTGCAGCTGGCTGGCTGGGTGAGCAATGCTACATGCATCATCAGATGTAAAAGCAGATTGTGTCTGTTATAGGTGATGTGTACATGGAACTCAGTGATGTAATTGCTGACATTACCTTCCAGATGACCTCACGTGGCTGCTGAAAAAATTTATTGCACAATGTTTAAGGAAACCACGAGTTTTTCATAAAAATAGCATTGCTCACTTGTAAATCCTGAAGAACCAACTATCTCCCCAGACAACATGAAGAATATGCTGGGGAGAAGCAATCTCAGGAATGAATATGCAGAGATATGGCAAGAAGAAATAAAGATAAGTCAGGAAGGCTGGCACAGCACAAAAGCTGCATAGTATTTATCTGACTGCTGCATCTGCAGCAGAAAAGAAGGAAATGTTCACAGTGCCAACTTTTTAAGAAAGAAGGGAAAAGGAAGGTGGGATGTTATCACAGATAGTCACTGTGCCGTGATCTAAAAAGTGTTCCACTACCTAGCTGGGTAAGAAAGACCCTTGAAATGAGTGAAACAAAGGAAGGCTTTTATCTTTACAAACATCACCTGAACTTTAAGCAACATCTTATAAAGAAAAGAAAAAATGACACAGGAAGCTTGTCTTCATGTTTTGCATTGTTCAAGAGAACACAAAGTGAAAAATAAGCAGATTAACTCTAGTGTGCTCAAGTGAGGGTTAGTATGATTTCTCAGCTGGAGTTCATCTGCTGGCACTCCTGACCATTGCAAACTTTACAAAAGATCCTGGAGAGATCCATGTTCAAGAAGAACAGTTCCAGAGTAGCTTTCTGGAAAGTCTGACCAGCTGAAGTTCTCGTAATCATGGGCTCCATAGGGATGATAAGAACAAACGTCAAGAGATCTTCCCAAAACAGAATAAGAAGATGGAAGTTTTCCCCTTTGACCCCAAGCCTCATCTTGATGTGAAAATCCATTGTCCAATAGAAAAAATGAGGACTTGTCATAAAGGCATTGGTCTGGCAGCTGGTGTGGTGCTTTGTGATCCCTAGGGCCCTGTGGGCAGCAGACTCAGTCCTCCTTCTGTCAAGGATTCAGGAAGTAGACGTTTTTTCTTACTGGAAATGGGCTGCCTCTCATGATTTGTAGTAGCCTCCGTAGATAATCATTTTTCCACACCATCAGAGCCTTGTTTGCTTTGGCTCCATTCTTCTTCCAGTTGGTTGGTTTGCCAGCTTGAAGCCAGAATGTACCTGTGGCATCACATTGGGAGAGTGTCGTCTAAAGCAGTGAGTTTTGTGACTGCAAAGCTCATGACCTTTTTGAAAGCTTGTTGTTTTATAGCAGGAATAAATGCGTTCTGCACAGGTCCAATGGCATTGTGAAATAATTTAACAAATCTTATTCTTTTTTTTTTCTTCCTTTCTTTTTTTTTTTTCCCCTCCCAGGACAGTCTATGAAGTCTTAGGACAGTACTGATGGAAGGCCCTTTGCAAACCTCCATTCATGTGTGCCATGAAAATGCTCAGTGGATGTCAAAATTACCAGAAAAGCTTTGGGATACTCCCCTCTTTAACTTATCTCTTCCAGGTAAAGATTAACTTTTGTTCTGTGCTGTTTTTTAAGTCATGTCATTTAAGCACTGGAACATCCTGCTTGTTTTATTTCATGAAGGGTGTTTTTGTTTTTTGTTTTTTTTTTTTTCCATTTGGGTCTGTGGCAGGCAGAAGTGCCAGGGGGAGTATTTTGGAGGTTTTCTTAGAGGGGAGGGAGAAGATCTTAAGGGAAGGGACTTCTGTAGCATCAAGATGTGCAGGATGTATGCATCATCATGTCAGATTAGTGTTAATAATCTGAGCATTTCTTTAGTTTGGCTATGGTGGAATTTTCTAATGTGTTATTAACACTTTTTTTCTAATTAAAATGACTCCAAAAGGAGACAACATTTCAGCTTATTGTTTCTTTGCACTGTTTGAAAGAGGCTGGGAAGTTATGGGAGGGAAAAAAAAAAAAAGAGAAGAAGGAAGGAGGGTGGGGACTTGGAATTAATGTATTTGTTTTTGTTAATGTAGATAAGGACTTTACTGCATAGCTGCTGGTCCCTGTTTCTGAAAACTAGATGTATCCAATTATGGGTAAATATAGTTGCATTATAGCTGGTATCTTCATTGGCGCTACAATCAGACTTGCTTATTAAAAAAGCTTTTTTAAAAAAATATTATTATTTTTTGGTCACTGCTCTCTGCTGTCTTGAACAGATTTTTTTTCCTCATTCTGTCTAAAGAGATTTTGGGAGAACCTGCTTTCACTGGCTTGAGGGAAGACTGTTGGCTGGAGGACTGTTAGCTCTTGAGTGCTTTGCTGTAGGCAGGGCTGCTCCCCCTCCAGCTCAGGCTGCCCAGGGCCCCATCCAACCTCCCCATCCAACATGGGTGCTGAAGGGATGGGGCACCACAGCTTCTCTGGGCAGCTGTGCCAGCGCCTCACCATGCTCTGAGTGAAAATTTCTTCCTAGTATCTAATAAATTTTTTCCCTCTTCTAGTTTAAATCCATTCCCTGGTCCTATCATTATCTGCTTATGTGAAAAGTCAGTCTTCCTCCTTGTTATAAGCTCCTTTGAAGTGCTAGAAAGCCACAGTGAGGTCTCCTGGGAGCTTTTTCTTCTCCAGGCTGAACAAGATTTGTGCTTCAGCCTGTCTTCATAGGAGAGGTGAATCAGCCCTCTGATCATCTTTGTGGTCCTTCTCTTGACCAACTCCAACACTTTCGTGTTTTTCTTGTGCTGGGGCCCCAGGCCTGGACACAGAGCTGCAGATGGGGTCTAAAAAAGGCAGAGTAGAGCGGGACAATATCTTCCCTTTCTCTGCTGGCCATCAGTCTTCTGATGCAGTCCCAAATACAGTTGCCTTCTGAGCTACAAGCACACACTACTGTCTCATGTGCAGCTTTTTGTCCACCACTGTAAGCCATTCTCCAAGGGGCTGCTCTCCAGTTCTTCTGTTCTTCTCCCAGTCTCTATCGTACCTGGGATTGCACTAACCTAAGTGCAGTGCTTGGCTTTGTTGAACCTCGTTAGGTTCTTGTGGGCCTATTTTTCAAGTCTGTCCAGGTCTCTTTGGTTGGCATCTCTTTCTTCTGATCTATTAACCACACCACTCAAGTTGATGTCAGTAAACTTGCTGAGGGTGTGCTTGATCCCACTGTCCTGGTTGTTGATATAGATCTTGAAGAGCATCAGTCCCAGTGCAGACCCCTGGGGGACATAGCTTATTACTGACATCCACCTGGACAGAGTCTTTGACCGCGGCCCTCTGATCACGACCATTCAAATAATTCATTCTCTGTTGAATAGTCTACCCTTCAAATTCTTATCTTTCCACTTTAGAAACAAAAAATGTTATGTGAAACCTATCAAAGGTCTTGTAGAAGTCCAGGTAGATTATATCAGTTGCTCTTTCTTTGTCTACTGAAGCTGTCACTCCATGACAGGAGGCAACCAGGAGGTAGAGCAACAAGATAAGAAAATAAGTATCTATCTTATGATAGAAGATAAGTAATTCTTTTTTTTATTTATTTTTATATATTGTTCCTCTTGCAAAAATCATTAAAAAGTGAGTGTTCCTTGATATGAAAGGAACCATGTTACTTCTAAAGCACTTTCACAGTGGTGTTTCTTGCTAAAAATGCTGAGAACTCGATGTGTGCTTTTGACTTCTTGACTCTTCTCCTAACAGTGATCAGTGGTATTCTCGTGAATGTTTGTTGTTTTCACAGTGGACAGGCAAGAAGGAAAGAACGAAAGAATGATGGAGCTGTGTCAGAGAGTATCGAGCTGGGTATTAGGAGAAGTTTCTTCACTGAGAGGGTAGTTGGACATTGGAACAGGCTCTGCAGGGCAGTGGTCCTGGCCCCAAGCTGCCAGAGTTCAAGAAGCATTTAGACAACACTGTGAGACATAGGGTTTGAATTTTGGCTGGTTCTATGTGTAGCTAGGAGTTGGAGTTGCTGATCCAGTGGGTTCCTTCCAACTCAGGTTATTCTTTAATTCTAAGACAAGTCAATTTCAACAAACACTACTGGATGATTTTGCTGTGCACTGCAGCTCATGTAGCTTGGAAGAAAGCTTCTTCTCCAGCTGACCTACTAAACTGGTCTAGCCCAGATCAGAATAGAACAAAACAAGACCAACGAGGTCAAGACAGCTCTAGCAGGTTTTCAGAGGGAGCAATGTCTGAAGGAAACCCAATTTGGAAGCAGGAGCTTACTCATCTCCCCACAGAAGGCAGCCTTGCCCTCCGGTCATTAGGGCATGATAAACGTGTCATAACCTAAGGGTTATGAGATGACTGGGCTCATCTCAGATAGAGAAGATAACAAGGCATGCAAGAAACTTGAGAATGTGATTTCTGAATACGTGATAAGGAGACAGATGCAACTCTTAGCAGTTGGCACTGTGTTGCACCAGGTTCAGGACAAGAGTTGTTTAAAGCTTTGGAGCTGCCTGGATTTGTGCTATCTTGCTATCTTTGAATCAGACTTGCTGTATTGTGGGTATATCCTTCTTCATTTTAACTTAGTGATGTCACATGAAGACACCTAAATGAAAAGTTATTATCCATGATAATGACATCAGCAGATGCAACACCCATTGATGGAATCATGTTCGCTTCTCTTAGACTTGGATTTCATCCATGGATATTTGATGGTTTGATTCATACATCTTTTAAGACAAACTCTTTTGATTGAATGTCCTCATTGCCAACCTCCATCTGTGATAACCTTGGTTGGGTCATTTAAAGCAGGAAAATGCAGACATAAACTAGATTTCAAAAGGTGAACAACAGTTTATTGTCTTGTTCTATTATTGAGTGTTTCAAAGAATTTTCTTTATTTCAGATATGATCTTGTCCTTTCGCTTTGGCTACTAGAAATATTGCCACTGGCACCAGTTTAGACTGACCTTTTAAGAAGCTGGTTTCAAGCATCAGTGATTGCTTTGTTCAACAGAGGATTTAAAAAAAAACCAAAATGATTTGCAAATTCCTTGCAGATACCCTGTAAAGATCCCAGCAAATCAGGTCATCAAGTTTTTAGCTGTTCTTATTGATGCTTTACGAAATGAGAAGAAATAATAGAACAGAAAAAGCTAGCAAGATCACTGACTGCCTGTCCTGAAGGTGTTGTAAGTTGTATCATATGTAAATGAATCTTTATGACAAGAAGTATTTCAGATTTAAGGCTTCAGAGTCAGGCTGGGCATTAGGAGGCATTTATTTACTGTAAGGGTGGTGAAACACTGGAATAGGTTTTCTAGAGAGGTAATTGATGCCCCATGGCTGTCAGTGTTAAAGAGACACGTTGATCAGGCAGCTGGACTTATGATCTTGGTACATTCCTACTGTCTATTTTCTGTTCTATACTCTTCTATATTCGAGGAACGTTTGGATTTTGTGTTGAGGGACATGGTTTAGTGAGTATTATTGATGATGGTTGGACTGGATGATCTTTAAGGTCTTTTCCAACCTTGGTGATTCTGTGAGCTGTTTATTTCCCCAAAAAACGGAGCGTTCACAACAAGATACTTGTTTTGGTGGAAGACACTCATTGAAATGGGCTGTTTTAATGCAATATGAGGCAGATATCAACAGTGATATGTAGTTTAAGTGGGATCTGCTTTAATGAAAAATACTGAAAAGTTGCAGTGCCATCCTTTTATGTGGATTTCACTCTAATAAGACCGGGTAAGTGAGCTCTGTAGGAGCTCACCTTTATGCCATAACTGCATAAGCTGTCAGGCAACATATGTTTGTTTTGTAAATGAAGAGGAAAGTCAGGTGTGTGTGTGAAATGCAGTCATGCATTGTGGTGCTTGAGTCATTAAGAAATGACATGTTTTCTCTGTTTATTTTTCTATTCTGCAGGTAGTCATGACACTATGACCTACTGCTTGGATAAGAACTCTGCTGTTAGTGGCAATGAATCCAAGCTGGTGAAGTTTTTAAATAAATGTATGCCCTGCATTGTACGCCCTATTATTATGAAGTGGTCCATAACACAGGTAAATGTCTGATGTTCTCAAGCCTGAACACATTTGAATGTCATGCTGAAGTGCAAAGTGTGGTCCGGTTCTCCCATAAGGCAATGAGAGAACAGCCAGCAGCTGTCATGAAGTACCAGTGCTGTGGATACCAGATCTTCGCTTGTAGGGAAAAGTCATTCAGCTTGGACAGGGAGGATTCACAAAGTTGTTGCTTAGAATTGACTGCTAGAAATTCATCTTCCTTACAGTTTTCTTATTGTTATTATTAACGTTTAGTATCACCCTAATCAAAGTAAGTTAGTAGAAGGCTTTTCTTTTCTTGCACTTAACTCAGAAAGCCTTGTCCTTTTTATTGTCACTGTTGTGTGAAGTGCCTGTTTTGCACTGCTTTATTGTGTAAATATTTCAGCGACCTGCAAAGGCAAAAATGTCATTTGAGGGGACTTTAAAGATTAAGAGAATGAAGGTCTGACACTTCACTTAAGGTTTATTTCATTTTTATAAAACAACTGAATTTTAAGCTAGCAGTTATCTCCTGCTGTTCCCCACAAATGTATGCTAAAGATGAAATTGGGGATCATAGTTTAAGTTAGCGCTTTTGAAGATTTTTCTGAAGAACGGACTTTCATGTCATCAAAGAGGCACCAGAAATCTTTTCACTTTCGTTCTTTTTGAAGGAGTAGTTCATTAGTAGTGACTTAAAACTGAATAATTGAGAAGTGGCAATAATTATCCTTAGGCTTCCTTGCTTATCGTTTCTTGAACCATTTTTTTTTTAACTTTGGAGTTCATGCCAATTCAGATACCTCCTCACCTGCCAGTTGCTGGTGGACAAGGTCTTTATGGAGATAAACAAGCTCCATACATCATTACAGTCATTTTCTGGTCGGAGCCCAGCTTGCTGAGTGGGAGGTGACCTGGCAGATGGGGAAGACCTGGCTGCAGGCCTATCCTCTTTAGTGCCAGGTCGTCCCTGCAGGAAGGTGACTCTGTCCCTTGGTATCTGGAGCAGTGACCGAGGCATCCTGCTGCTGGCAGGACCCGCACGTTCCTGGATGGCCCTATGCCAAGCCCCAGCCCTGGCTGTTATGTGTGTCAGCCTGGAGGCCCGTATCTTTCCTATGCAATGGCTGACATCAGCTCTCAACCTGGATGTCAGGTGTGAGATAGCTGTGCTGAGTTGCACTGCTTTGCAAAACATCCTCTTTTTTCAACTTGGAGGCAATAGTTGTGCTGTCTGATTTAGTATGCAAATCCAAGTGACTAATTAGGGGGATTAATCTTTCTAGTTTTCCCAGTCAGTTGGTAGAAAGAAAGAAATTTGTCCAAAGGGCAGTTCACAGCAATTAATCAGTCTGGTGCACTTTCTGGCCACAAAGGTTACATATGACCTACAGCCATACATTTTCTGCACCCCATGTGGAAGCCAGTCTTGGGCATGGATCACTCCTTTGGCTTCTCCAGCCTTGAGGAGACCAAGCAGTGTGGAGGATGATGCTGGCAGCTCCTGTGATCCTCAGCACTTGAAGGCATGTGCAGCTCAGATGGAATTCCCCTCCAGGAGCATAAAGGTGGATGTCTAGAGCTAGGCAGGGTGAACATCCTGCCAGAAGTCTTAATTTCTGTCCCAGCACTAACAAAACCGGTTATTAGGCACAACACCTTGCACTGGTTTCGCTTTAATTGAATCCTATCTGACTTAAATTAGTACAATCTATTTTTTTTTTTCTGAAACCTAATAGTGTTGTCCATGCAAGCAGGTTGAACTGAGACAAAGTAGGATTTCAATGTATTGAATTGATTTGATTATTCTCTCTTAGTGAAAGAGGACCATGATAAATATAGGAGATGTGTCATTTGGGACATGTTGCCCCAAACTCAGCTCTGTAACCTGTCCCGTGTAGCTCTCAAAGCCAGATGGAGATAAATCCAAGACAGAAGAAGGCCTGTTTGTAGGACTTCTGCGAGTTAATTCAAATTTTTAAAGAGACTTTATCCTAAGAAGAGAACAACAGCCAGTACTTTTTTCTATTTTTGTTTTTCCTTCCACTGAGGATGAGTGAGGTCCGTAGAGACAACCATGGTAAAGTCTTTGATCTAATAAAATAAATACAGAGTTTCTGAGGTGCTGATCCTGCAAGATTTGTTCATACAAATAGCCTTGTGAACAGAGATTGCGTATTTATGCGCAGGTTAATGGATCTTTTAACTTTGAGAAGACAACAAATGCAGAGGTCTGAAACTAATCTAGCCTATATCTGGAGTATATTCCACAGGGAAATCAGGATCCTCTTGTTAGATAGTAGAATAATTTCAAGTTATGACTTCGTACCTTACAGTGCCATTTTAAAGAAGAAAGATGTGGAAACGGTAGGGCTAATTTGGTACACCTTTTCCAGTTATCTGATCTAAGGGAACAAACCCCTTTCAAACTCTCAGAACCTTTGTCTTCTGTTTAACTCTCCAGGTGCTAACTGTGACGGAGCAACTTGAGGCCGGAGTTAGATATCTGGATTTTAGGATTGCCCACAAGGCTGGCGATCCATCTATGAATTTGTACTTCGTGCATATGGTATACACAACAGTTACTGTACAGGTATTGTCCTTGTCTTTGGAATGGCTATACACATGGTGCTGCTTATTTTATGCAAAGGCCATCCACATCTGAAAATGCTTCCCCAAGGTTTTCTGAATAGGTTATTTGTTTTCCTAATGGGAGGACTTTGAACTAGAGAAAGTTGGCAGGGCTGGTTACTGAGCTAGTTTCAGCAGTTGTAATTAAGGTTTCAAGGTTGATCAGTTTCTTATCCTCAAACTGGAACTGCTGTGCCTTGTTCTCTACCACCTATGCCCTACCAAGTGCCTTATGTTTCTGGGGTTTATCTTGTGTAGTCCAAGGATGCTATTATCTGGGGCAGTCATATTTCCCCAGTACAGGCAGACATTACTAAAAAGAAAGTATTAAGAGCCTACTAAATCACAGAAGCTTTTTTTTTGGGGGGGGGGGGGGGGGGGGGGGAGGGAATAGGAATAAGTGTTTCACTGCAAGACTCAAGTCTGTGTCCCATTATTAAAGTACTGTCAGATCCTATGAAGACTGTAATGTGAAGTTGCTCTTTTGCCTGTGCTATCTCACTGTGGACCGGTTTACGTTGTCTTTGCATTTGGTGAAATTCGTATAGCCAGGCACAGGGGAGTGCACAGCCAGCTAAAGCAGCTTTTGTTTGTAGTCTGACTGGCTAAGCCTTGGTTTCATATTTATCATTTGAACCTTTTATGTCATGATGATTGGCACGTTCAAGGGGATAGTTAGATGTAGTGCCTGTCTACTCTGCTAATTATGTGTGATCTCCAAGAAGTTGTCATTGCCTGTAACAAATGGGGAAAACAGATCCTGTCGTGTTTAAGCAAGCACAGAGTTTTCCTTATTTTCCAGTTTGCCACCAACATTGTGTTTGTCCTTGAAGAAGATTGGGAAGATGAGTTTACTGATAATCTGCCTGTAAGGAGATTGATGGGTATTACCAAAATACAAAGCTATTAAATGTAGTGTGCTAGGCCCACAGCCAGAGTAAATCAGCACAAACCTGCAGAAAGTAGGTTTTTCTGGCTTTTCTCTCTGAAGCACCTTGTGGGCTACCAGATGTTCATACTCTGAAAACCTACATGGATTTTTTTATTACAGTGGTTGTGGTTTTATCCAGCTGTCAATGGTTTCATTAATGGAAAAGTTTTATTTCCTTTTCTCTGCGTAGCATGATTTTCTAAGTTGCCTTGACTCTCTCTTATAGGATATTCTGTGGGAAGTATTAAAGTGGTTGGAAACTCATCCTCAGGAAGTTGTTATCTTGGCCTGCAGGAATTTTGATGGATTAACCAAGAAACTTCACTGTCATCTTATTAAGTGTATTAAACAGATTTTCCAGTGTAAATTGTGTCCAAGAAATGTAAGTATGAGATCTTTCTCTGTTTCTTTTAAGGGATGATGTATTACAATGTGTTGTGGTTTTTAACCCTGCAGGTGCCTGAGCACCATACAGTCATTTGCTCACTCCCCCCTTCCCAGTGGGATGGGGAAGAAAATATGGAAAAAAGAAAAGTAGAACTCGGTTGAGATAAAGCTATTTACTAAGACAGAGAAAAGGGAAAAGACAATAGTTATGAATATCTGTATCTATCTATATGTGAATGTATATAACAAGTGATGCACAAGCAGTTGCTCGCCACTCCCCTGACCAACAGCCAGCTGGCTCCCTGAGCACCGAAAGAGAGATAAACTTTTTCCCCCTTCAAAACTCCTTCCACATGATGTCATATGGTATGGAATATCCTTTTGGCCAGTTCAAGTCAGCTGTCCTAATTCTGTCTCCTCCAAGCTCCTTGGACCTTTCTGAGAAAATGGCCTTGGTTCTATGCAACACTGCTTGGCGGTAACTATCAACATTGGTGTATTATCAACATTGTTTTTCTTCTAGAATCAAAATCATAGCATCATACCAGACCCTCTGAAGAAAACAATTCCATCCCAGCTGAAACTAAGACACAGTGAAGTGTTTGGTTGAGAGTTTTATCTTCTGCTTTTCTTGTGTTTTTCTCCTAGCAAAAGTAGCATTTACTGCATCAGGGATAGGTCTTTATCTAATAAATTTGAGTAGATAAAGCATAGTGTGGAGGAGGGAATTAAATTTGACTGTCACATGTGTAGATTTGTAGGACCATAGTAGGGATACAGCTGCTATCTGCTAGTCTGCCAGATTTTTGTGAGTAAGTGTTGTTATAAATGAAGTTCAGACTATGGCAAGGGCTTTCAGTTTTAGATGGAGATGACTACATTCTTCTATTGACAGAATTCAGACGAATGCCTTTTCTTCCTTTTCAGCAATGATTATAAGTCATTTGGTGGTATTTATAGCATCAGAATAATATAACTTAGGTGGAAGTGAACTCTGGAATTCAACCCCACCTGGCAGACCAGACCTACTTCAAAGCCGTGTTGGGCCATATCCTGTCCATTCTTGGATAGCTCTGCAGGTAGAGATTCCTTAGCCTTTCTAGGCAGCTTGATCCAGTTTGACCACTCTCGCAGTAAACTTGTTTGTCGTATATCTAATCAGAATTTTTTCTGTGGCACCTTGTGAGTGTTCACTTTCATTCTTTTGGCATGCATTTCTGAGGAGCGGCTGCCTCTGTTTTTTTCTACAGCCACCCATCAGGTATTTGCAGACAATAGTGAGATCTGTCCATATTCATCTTCAGGCTGAACAGACTCAGCTCTTAGCCTGTATTTGAATTTCCAGCCCCTGCTCACCTTGGTTGCATGCTGCTGGATTCACTTCAGCACATCTGAGTCTTTTTTTGTACTGGGAAAGCTCCAGCTGGACACAGTGGACTCGCACATGGGTCCCCAATCTGTCCTGGTGTGTGGGATTACTCCATCCAGGCTCAGGACACTGCATTTGCCTTTACTGAGCTTCATGAGATTTCTGCCAGAGGTGGCAGGTGAGAAGGGAGAAAGTAGATCAGTCCAAATCAGGAGCTCTCTGCTACAGCTGCCATCAGGATACAAGTTGGTGCAGGGGTTTCTGTGCATCATAGTCCACTTGGGAATGTGCTGACACCAGCAGCTGCCTTCAGAGAGGGGCCACAGTAGTGGCCTTGGCTTTCCTTCCTCCACTTTAGCTAGAGCTGACCTTCCAGGCAGCCTAATAAGCTTTCAGTCACCCAAACCTCTAGAAAAGCTTTAATTTTAATAATTGGAAATTATTTGACTGCTACATTTTAGAAGCCGAGATTTTTAGCTTCCTCTCTTGACAAGGTGTGGGAGCTTTTAGCAGTTAAACAATTAACATTTCAAAGATGCGCAGGCACAGAGGGTTTTCTCTGGAGATGTGAGGGTGCAGGATAATGATGACCCTGTTTGCGATTTGAATTAATCCTTTGAAGCTGGTGGATCAGTAAGGGCTGAGTATTACCATTTCAAAGCATCTTGTATGGCAGAGTTAAAATAGAACAATTCTCAGCAAAATTAGTGGTTTCTGATAATTCAGGCCTCAACAGAATAACGGAGGACCTGAGTGAAAACGTTTTATTGTTTTCTCATGTATCTTGAGTGTGTAAGTTGTGGCTGAGCAGAGCAAGACTGGAGAGGATGACCAAATTTGTTTTCAGACGCATGGCCAGTTCCAAAACAAAAAGAAGTGATTAATTGCAAGAGGGACAAGTTGTTGCTGGTAGTCTGTTGAAGGAAGGTGATAGTCTGAGGTCATGTCACTGAAGAAGAAAAGCAAATGGGAAAAAAAAAAAAGAAAAAGGAGAAAAGCAACAAAAAGTAAATGGTATCCTGGTCTCCATGAGAAGAGGGGTGGCCAACAGGAACGGGAAGGTGATTGTCCCTCTCTACTCTGCCGTCGTGAAGCCTCATCTGGAGTACTGCATCCAGGCCTGGAGCCCCCAGTACAAGAAAGACAGGGAGCTGTTGGAGACAGTCCAGAGGAGAGCCACAAAGATGATCAGGGGACTGCAGCACCTCCTCTGCGAAGACAGGCTGAGGGAGCTGGGCTTGTTCAGCCTGGAGAGAAGAAGGCTGTGGGGTGACCTCATTGCAGCCTTTCAGTACCCAAAGGGAGCCTACAAACAGGAGGAGAGTCAACTCTTTGAAAGGGTAGATAACAGCAGGACAAGGGGAAATGGTTTTAAGTTGAAGGAGGGGAGATTGAGGTTGGATGTCAGGGGGAAGTTCTGTACAGAGAGAGTGGTGAGGTGCTGGAACAGGCTGCCCATAGAGGTTGTGGATGCCCCGTCCCTGGAGGTGTTCAAGGCCAGGTTGGATGGGGCCCTGGGCAGCCTGGTCTAGTATTGAATGTGGAGGTTGGTGGCCCTGCATGTGGCAGGAGGGTTGGAGATTCATGATCCTTGAGGTCCCTTCCAACCCAGGCCATTCTGTGATTCTGTGATTCTAAGAAAAAGAATGTTTCTATGTTGCCTCCAGCGGGAGGGATAATGGGCAGAGGAGATGGGTGAAGGCAAGTATTGCCCTCCTCCAGGAATGCTTTTCATCTCCAGAGGGTGTGTGACCAGCACAGTGGATCCTGCCATTTCTGTAGGTGACACTTTTGCACGTTAGGTGGCTGAGGAACCTTTTCAGAATCACAAATTCAGATTTAACATCACATAGCCTCATACTTGCTCACTTGTTTTAAAATCATCTAATGTCTACTGTCTTTCAAGACTGCAGCTCTGGTGTCAAATGAAACTAAGTGTCAAAGCACTTATGAAGCTGTAAATAGAGATCTGTAGTACTGGCACAGACCACAGTGTGACAACATTATATTGTGTTTAAAATTGTAACTGCCTTTGATTTGAATTATTTGAGTTTAAAGATCCTTTGTCAGATTTCTACAGTTTCATCTCTGCATTGTTGGCAAAATAAGCACCTGTGCTCATATGTTACATTTCTGGTGATGTTTTTCTCTTTTCTTTCTTTCTTTTTTTTTTTTTTTTTTAAAGAGGTTTGAGCTTTAGAAAGGCAGCTGCAGTAAAGCATAGGCCTCTGTCAATCACAGATTTTGTAGCTCATTTTGTTGTTTATGTCTTAATTTTGAGGTATTTTTCTGATTTAACTGGAGCTCACACTCTCTTTCATGGATGAAGCAAGAGGGATTTCTATGTTCATTCTGGCTCTCTTCAAAGATTTGCATTAAAATGTTTCCACTTTGGTCTTTATTTTAAGTGAGAAGTTAATTGTAACATCATGAAGCTACCATTTCCACTTGATAAGCAACACAGCAAAAACCCAAAATGTCTGTTAAAATACTGGGTTTGCAAATAAATAAATGAATAAATAAAACTGGTGTCCAATCAACTCTGTCCAGTGACAACTTTTGGGGACTGGAAAATTTAATTTCATACTGAAACATTTAAATTAAACAGACCTGTGTCAGACAATCTGGTTTTCTTCCAAGAGTTTTTCCTTCTCTCAATTCAGAATGACTGAGGTTTCCCAATTTCCAAAACTTTTCCCCTTACAGAAGTCAGATCAACATCTAAGATTTGTATTTTCTTACTGAGTCTGAACAGTTGAGTTCTCACGAATGGCTTTGGCGATAAACTTGGATCTGTGTGGCAGTGCTGCTCTAACCATTCCTGTTTCATTGTGTGTTTTTCTGTAGATGGCTGTAGGCCTTTGTCCTCCTAGCTCCTCTTGCAGAATGGGTGATGCACTCAAAAAAAAGCTCAGCTTGCAACCCATCCAACAGCTTGTCTGGATGTACATTTAGCAGCATTATTTGAACCAAATCTGTGCCTCGCTATCAAGGCAACTTTGCACATTGATATCTGAACTTCAGGGGTGCTGATGTTGTTGGCTCGTAGCTCCTGCTGACTTCAACCCGGACTTAACTTCCCTTAGGTGGTTCCGACTCTGCGGACCATGTGGCAGCATGGCTACCAGGTTATAGTCTCGTATGAAGAAGATCTGGAAGTGCTGAAGCACTGTGAGCTGTGGCCTGCAATCCCATACTGGTGGGGAAACAAAACTACCACTCGTGCTCTCATCCAGTTTCTAGAAGCCATGAAGCGGATGGGCCGTCCAGGTACCCACACGGGGCTACTTGAAGCAAACCAGGGGCACGTACAGTAGTGCAAACCACATAGAAATAGTTGACTGGCAGTTTGTAGCATTGAGGGATAGAAGGCTGTTGTGTGTGCTGCATGCTCTAGGCACTTCCACGTTGCTGAGTGCTCTTGCCCACCCATGGGTGAGTGCAACATTGCACATTGTATTACCTGGTTGTGTAAACATGTGCACAAGTGTATGTATATACGCAAGCTGTACCACTGCAGCAGCTCCTTCATCTATGGGATCGTGTGGAAAAGAGCACAAGCCCTTTCCCCTCATTGCAGGGCAGCCAGCTGGCTGTCAATGCCTTGTCACACATAAGAGACTACTGTCTGAGCCCAGTACTTGCTGGCTTTTACTTCTTTGGACAGCTCTAAGGATGAGGAAAAAGCAGTATGGCACACAATAGCATAAAGGAAGACAGCCCCTGAAACAGTTCTAGGTCTGTGAAACAATACGGAAAGATTCTTAAGCATGTGAATGATTCCCAGTGAACCAGACCTTGAGTGTATGCAATGCTGAGCAGTCTCTGCTCTCCTCAGAGGAGTATTTAATGTGTCACTTTTCAATATTTTGTTTCAGAAACATTCTTCGTTGCGGGGATTAACCTCACCGAAAATTTAAGGTACATTCTTGTACACCCATTCGGATCACTGAAGACAATGACACTCCGGAGTCTTCCATGCTTGAAAATCTGGGTGAGGAAGCAGTATCCAGGACCACAGAAAGAATGTATTAACATCATTGCTGGAGACTTCATAGGAAATGACGATTTTGTCAGAGATGTAATAGAACTTAACGCCAAAATTAATCCTCAGTTACACTGTCCCAGCAAAGGGTCTGGAACAAAGAGCATTTCATTTGCAGCTCTTTAAAAAATCTTTGAAAAGCTGAAAGGACTTTGTGTGCATTTAATATTTCCTGGTTTAAACATCCCAGACTACACAAAGATCTGGTTAACTTAAACCAGGGATTTTTAAAAGCTCATTAAGAAAAGCTCTCTCAAAATCATCAGGCTTTCAAAGTCTTTCCTTGAAAAAGGAGAGCAGGAAGATCTTGTTGAAATCATTATAGAAATGTGGAATAGGCATAATTTACTTGGGAGGTGCTTAGATCCTGTAGCAGCTGAAAATATTGAAAGTCTCAAGAACTATTTAATATATGAGCAAGAAGTAGAAATGTCACTAACTGCACAAATAATTCTGTGATTTTATTTTCTTTCTGCACATACTTGCAACCCCAATTATCAGTATTTTATCAGTGTGAAACTAACTTGCTGTTTTCATGGTTTGTATTGAATATACAAGTGAGCAATTGAAAAAAATTTTTTTAACCTATCAAAGATACTGATATTCTTACATGCCACAATCTTTATATGTATATCAATCTGGAGATCTAGTATTAGCTGTATCATGTGCTGAATATCAGTTGTGAACCATTTCACCAGCATGGTAGTCACAACATTCCTACTATTTTTAAGAGATGTGTAACAGAACACTTTGTTCTTGTTATCATCGATGCCAGTTCTGCCACAGCCAGACCCATGGACAGTTTTGTCTGCTGCAGTAAAATGTTTTTATTTTAGGAGCTGCAAAAACACCTCTTACATTAGAAATTAGTTTCATATGTGTCTGCTTGAACTTAGACTGCTCTAAAAATACAGATCATTGGATCATCATGCTTATGTGAGGTTTCATGACTGATCTTCCTTTATTTACATATTTTTGTAGTACTATAGTTTTTTCCTCTTGATAAGTATTCTTTACTTGCTTAAACACTGTTTTATGTAAATTAATTCTATTTTTCTAATTTTTAAATGAACTGTGCAATAACAGATGATCATGAAGGTAAGAGAAAGGACAAAGATCAGGGCTAACACAAAAGAGGCATTGTATAAAGTTACTATGCAGCGTCATCACCATACCTCACTTTTTATATGCACTTTACACATAGAAATTGAGTTGAAGTGTCTGGCAAGATGTTGTGTTTGCAGTAGGTAGCTGCCTAACTTCCAAATGGATTGCTACTTGATACCAGATCAAAGTTACCTTTCACTTCTAGGGATGAAAGGCAAAGATGCTACCTCTTCATGCAGTCTCCCACAATTGCAGACTATGTAGGAGTGAAAACCAAACATTCCACTTAGTTAGAAGACTTTCTAAATGCTTATTTACAGTTGTTATTTACAGCTGTTTATGCTTGATCTCACTTGTGTTTACTTCATATAGAGCAGTCATTCAGTTTGGTTTTTTAAATAGCCTCCACATGCACGAAGTGCTGTTCTAACTCAGAATGTTTTTCTGCCTATCTTTTGTACCTTTCAAGTGTCTTGTCTCTTTACCTAATAAATCTTTTTTTGTGTGCTAAAGACTGAAATACAGTTTTGTTTCTCCTTTCAGTAATACTGACATTTTTTCTGTAAGAATTGACACAGTAGTGGGTATTGTGGATGAAGATGTTCACAGCTCACTTTTCACTTTATTACTTGCTTAAATATACACATCAGTGTTGTTTCTGCTTCACTGCAGTAATAAATGGCATTTATTTAAGTAAATATTCAAGCAGAATACGTGGAAATATCTCTATTATTTATATACAGGCAACAGTGTTTTCTTCAGTAACTTTCATTTTTTGATGACCAAGGGACACCTTGTCTGTAACAAATATTTTATTCTGAAAAATGGGATTAAAGTCTTTATGTGATGTAGTATTTTCCTGAAGGTTAACTTAGATGCCATCCTGTGATTCCACATTTGAGGTTCAGAGTCAATAACTATTCCAACATAAAAATTACTGCTATTCTTGCTCTTGCTGCCAGAATGAAGCTCAAAGCTGTTGTTTTCAAACAAAAGTTTTCTGAATCACTGTCCATTTCTACAATGTGTCGAAAGCATCAGCTGGTTAAGAAATAAACTCTCCAGCATCCAGGCCACTAGCTTAATTCCAGTCTTCTTAAAGAGATCAGTGTCTTTTTTGACAGAAGGATTTCATGCTACAAAAATCTTACTGCTAGGAAAGAGGTTTCTGTATCTGCCAAAAGCAGAGTCGCTGATGATCACCTTCACCCTGGCTGTACCATCATCAGGCATGACGTCCACGTCCTGAACCGTTGATTCTTTATAGAGCCAACTGTAAAGATGAGTGTGTATTAGCATCTTAAAGGTATCCTGTAGTGCACAAAATGTGATCTTTGTTTTTGGTCTACGTGTTCCAATCTAAGTAATTCAACGCCATAAAAGATGAAGTTCCTCACTTAACTTTTCATTTGCTACTTGCTGTTTGGAAATAAAATACAGTATTTACATAAATGTTTCAGATCTCTGGTTTGGATTTTTTCCCCAGAAATCTGGCTCCAGGACCAGGTGGAATGGTCTTTCAAAAAGTTACCTTACTGTACAAACACAGTATCTGCCGTGGCTACTTTCAATAAGCTATCAAACAATTATCACAACAGTTCTTAAAGAAAATTAAAATCAGTGTGGTATGTTTTGGCAAATTTAAGACCTGTAAGACTGAGTTTCATATCTGTCCTTCTTAAGTCTCAAGTCCTTAAAACTCAAAATTGTTTACCTTAGCTGAGGTCCCTGTAAGTTGACTGTAATTGTCAGAATCTTCTTTCCCGTTGCTTTCAGAATTTTTTTTTCTATTTCTTCTTTCAGCTCTTCTAAACCATGCCCATGTAGAGCAGAAACAGCTAAAGCATTTTCTTCAGTGGGTTCATAGCTGAAAAGTAATAATTATCCACAAGTTTTTAAGTCAAGATTAGACTGTGAAAATATTCCAAGCACAGACAATTTAGCTGTGTTACGTCACACATCTCTACAGAGACTGCTTCTTGTATGACACAAGTGATTTCTTTTGAAATTTAAGGATAATAAATTAACTTTTAAGACCATGGCTACATCTGTAAAGACTGAAAAACTTGTATATGTAAAGATGGAAAAACATGTATTCAGAAGTGTGTATTCTCTTCTAGAATTGAGAAGCATCCAGAACATAAGAAATGTTTAAGTACATGTGACATCTCTTGCTTACCTTTCTATCAAATCCACTTTGTTATGAACTTCTACCATTGATTCCAGCAAATGGCTTGGAAGATTAAGATTCTTCAGAACTGATAAAACGCTTGCTTTCTGGAGGATGGTTTCAGGATGAGTAATATCCCTCACATGAACTATCAGATCCTAGCAAGCATCAATATACAGAAGTTACTTAATGGAACATTTCAGTTACTGGGTTGTAGAGATTTCATACTATTTTTGCATTTGTTTTATACAAGCTACTTTTCTATCCACTAGAAAATATTCTGTCAGGTTAACACTATAAAATGAACTATCAGAATGCTATTAAATCAATACTTTCCTTATCCATAGCTCTTGAGATACTGCTACTGGTGATTCACTTAGGAAGTTTTATATAAAAGTTACCAGTTTCAAGAACATATACGATTAGAGATGTCACAAATTTAAGGCAAACCACGATAAAAACCAAGAAAACTCAATATTTGCATTCAAAATATTTCAGCATTTTTGCTCCAGACACTGTCTCAAACTTTAGAAAACAATAATGAAACATAAATTTATTGCTTTTCACCTAACACATGAAAAAACAAAAGTGACAGCTGCAGTTAGCTTTTGAAATTCCTGTTATTACACACTCCAATCCCCAGAATTACTCGGCTGGGCATCCAATTACCACTGAATTTCTTTATTTTTGAGGATACAAGCTTTGTTTATATCTCTGTCCTCGGAGAGTAGAATAGTTCAGTTGGAAGAGACATACAAATAAAACCTAGTCCAATGCCCTGACCACTTCAGGACTTGCCAAAAGTAAAAGCATGTTATTAAGGACATCAGATACAAAGAACAGCATGCCAGTTAAGTTCCCCCTTTCTGACGGGGCAAAGATTACCTAAAAGAAAACTGATTTAATTTTTAATGTTTGTAGTCAACTACTTACTGAGTAAGCAACTTCTTCTAATGTAGCTGAAAAGGACTCGACCAGATTATGTGGAAGATCAGTCAGAAAACCAATAGTGTCAACATATATGACTGCCATATGTGAGGGCAGATAGCCAGCATGAGCAGTAATATCAAGAGTAGCAAACAGCTGATTTCGGGGTTGAATTCCTGCTTCCCCTGTCAAGGCTTTGATCAATGTAGTTTTCCCTAATTAAAATAAAACCAAAACAAAAAGAGAAAATTTTAATGACTTCAAGTAAAATTTTAATTTGCAAGATTCAGGTGAGTTTTATGGTGTAACATATCCTTTTGTATCTAGTTCGCTAGTTTAAGTCAAGTCTAACCTATGACTTGTTATCTATATTGTGTCATGAAATCCAAGATAATCTTAACTTTTTAAAACTTGGAGCTGGATTTAAGAACACATCTGAGGGTTCTGCTGTGAAATCATGAGATGATCACAGACTGAACAGATCTGCACTGATCTACCTACATCTTACCTCTAAGACTACCTAAAGAATCATGCCAGTGACAACACTTCAAAACTCCTCTGTACTTCTGTTCTGAAATTAAACAATTTAATATTTCCTTGTTAAATCCAATAACCACCAGAAGCACTAATAATATATGTTTTAATTAGTTTTATGCTTTTAGTAGGTGTTCTGTCATGAACAAAAGACTAGAACTGGACTTAACTTTTCATGAATATTTCACAGAATTTCCAGTCATTATCTAGAATACATATGGAATACTTTAGCTAAAAGTACTTCCATTATGTGTGCAAAGTTCTACCACAGATGTTTTGTTGAATCTTCATTTTTAAAAGTAGCTTAAAAGTGTCAGTGTAACAGATTATAAAATTAGTGCAAGGTAAGTTTCTTTTTAATAAAGATGTTGAATAATAAAATGAAGTAGTTTTAAAATAATATAAACCGAAAAAGTGTCTAGTCCAATGTCAATTTATGCCTTGCGTATGAGTTGTAAACTATTAGAAAAAAAAAACCAAAAAACCAAAAAAAACCTACAAAAAAAGCGCTTTGACTTTACTTACATTATCTTAAAAGTATTTCTTTAAATACTACACATTAATCAATTAAAAGCTACAGTGTCTCTTAAATTTCTCAGATTAGCTGCCCACCTCTCCTGAATTTACCTAGTGACCTGTACTGTTCTCTACCATAACAGAGTCATAGAATCAGAATCACTAAGGTTGGAAAAGACCTCCAAGAGCATCCAGTCCAACTGGCCACCTATCACCAGTATTTCCCCACTAAGCCATGTCCCTCAGTACAATATCTAAATGTTTCTTGAACACCTTGGGCAGTGATTCCATCACCTCCCTGGGTAGCCCATTCCAGCGCCTGACCACACTTTTGGAGAAGAAGCTTTTCCTCTCGTCCGACCTGAATCTCCCCTGGCTCAACTTAAGGCCATTCCTTCTATCTCCTCTTAGTTAATAGGATAAGAGGCCAACTCCCACCTCACCACAATCTCCCTTCATGTAATTATAGAGAGCAATAAGGTCTCTCCTGAGCATCCTCTTCTCCAGACTGAACAATCCCAGCTCCCTCAGCCGCTCCCCATAAGACCTGTGCTCCAGACCCCTCACAGCTTTCTTACTCTTCTCTGAACATGCTCCAGGTCCTCAATGCCTTTCTTGCAGTGAGGAGCCCAACAACAGGACACTAGCAATAGTCTTCAACACTAAACGTAAAATCCTTTCACACAATAGGAATTAGGAATTTCTCCAGAACCTGTCCGCAGAAACATCTTACTGTAACAAACATTATCTGCTTTTCTAATTATAACCTAACTGACATACACTCATTACACAATCTAAAACTTACTTAAAATACAAAGCCTATTTATACTAAAATCAGATTCTGGCTAGACATTCTTATTAAAAATTAGACAAGGTAAGCTTTTGTGCTACAATTTTGCTTTTGCTTACCACAATTAGTATAGCCCATTACTGAGATAATTGGAAACTCGCGTTTTCTGCGCTGAGTTCTGAGCAAAGATCTTTTTCTTCTTAGTTTCTCCAAGGCATTCCTAATTTTAAGTTCTTTTTCTCTCAAGAGACGATTCTGTGTCTCCATGAAAGTTTCACCTGAAAAATACGTAAGAGTAACTGGCAGAACAGTCTAAAACAGAACAGTAAATAAGAGTTGGACATCTGGAAAGGGAGTGAGTTGCCACTAGAGGATATGACGTTATAAATAAGCAACTAAAACTATGTACTCTTGCCAAACATAGAATCAGAGTGATAAATATTTATTAAAACATACACTAAGAACTTTAGAATAACCATGTACGCTTATGAATGTTCTCCTGTGGTAACAAATAATTTGCCCATGGCCACTTATTGAGCTTTACTGACCATAATAAAGCTTTATTATGGTCACAATTAAGGTTACTTTCCTCACAAATCTTTTGTACGTTCACTTAAGTAAGATGCAGAACACAAACTGCCTTTCCTCCCAGCCTCCCCCAGTAAAATAAGATGTAATTAATTATGTTAATTATGGAGAAAAAAGAATCCTCTAATTCATGAAAATATTTCCACTTTACCTGAGCCCATGATGTATCTTGATCCACCTCTCTGCTGATCTAGATGAGACACTTCAGTTTTTAGATTTGACCTGGCAGTGCAGTAATAATTAATTACAAGTGGACTACTTTAATAAAGCTATCTTAAAAATGGCTAGCAAATACGTAGCACTATAAACATTCTAACAGTACAGATGAAAACACTAGAAGAAATAGGTGTAACTAAAGACTGCTCATGGGGAAAAACTGCCTGGTGAAAAAATCCATTATTTCTGGCTCCCCAGCTGTGGTTTGAAAAACGATGCATCTCAGTAAATTATACTGGTTGTTCTGAAATTTCAGAAAGCCAAAGATGACTGATACATCCATGCAACTCACACCAGCTTCCATATACAGATGTTTCTAATTCGTAAATAAAATTCAGTGCCTTTAATATTTCTTGTTTATAGCTTTCCTCATTATAACTATTCATTTTATATAGGAAATACATCTATCCTAATTTGTATAGAATCTTGCAATCCATTTTCCACATTAGAAAGAACCAGGAACTTTCAAGCAGAAATATATTTTGTAACATTATTTACTCAACACTCTGTACTGTACAAGTTTGAGGCAATTACATTAAAGCAAATATTTCAATGTTCATAGAATCATAGAATGGCCTGGGTTGAAAAGGACCACAAGGATTATCTAGTTTCAACCCCCTGCTATGGGCAAGGTCTCCAACTACCAGAACAAGTTGCCCAGAGCCACATCCAGCCTGGCCTTGAATGCCTCCAGGGATGGGGCATCCACAGCCTCCTTGGGCAACCTGTTCCAGAGCATATGCTCCTGGCAACGATTGAGAATAGGATGCAACAACCAAAACAGCATCATTTTTCTTTACAGTACAGTACTATACTGTTAGTGTAAAAACATTGTCACAAAATACAGAAATATCAGTATGTACTTTGGACAACTTGAGGTACCTGAGGAGTGGAATTTCAGCCAACGCAATCTGGAGTTTTGCTTCCTTAGTTCTTGCATTACAACGAAAAATATGAAGCACAACTGTGTATCTGTCAAAGACTTTCACACCCCAGGCATCTTCCAGTTCTTTCTTTAGCCATGTAAAACAAAACAAACTAGACGTTTTCTGCCCAATAACAGAATATCAGTAAATCACTTAGTACACAGGATTACGGTTAGCCGGACTCAGAGGATTCTCTTTAAATGGATGGATAATGATTATGAGCACCCCAAACCAAAATTTTGATAGGGCAGAAAGAAAGATGAGTTTAGAAGGTAGAACTTTACATGCAGGTCCAATTAATTCAACAAGAATCCTTTTATTGCCTTGAATAGATTCTGAAAACAGGTCTTACAGGACATCTCACAGCATTAAATAATGAAAAATCTCAGTGGTTAAGCCCTTACAAAAAAATAATTACTAAAAGCTCATATGGCAAAAGATATGGATAACAAAGAAAAAGCAGAACAGTTACTGATATTAAAAAAAAATATATATATACATATATATATATATATATATATATATATATATATATATAGGCAGGGAGGAAGCCAGGACAATTATTGCATGACCAGCCTTCCCTGAAGTACTAAACCCCTCACCACAAACTGCCCAAATTCAGAAAAAGAGAGTTAAAGTACTTAAAGTATGCAGCAGTTTCCCATCACCATCTCTAAAATCCAGAATGATCTGTAAGTGTTTGATCCAGAATGACCTGAGTGTTTGATTCTCATATACTTTCTTGAATTAATACCCCATCAAATTGCACTTAGATCTAGATTTGAGAACAGATTTTTAGTAAATCTTATACTAAAAAGACAAACTCGGAATTATGGAATAAAAAGTAGATGGTAACCTTTGTGAAACATTTTCAATTTCTGTTTCATCAGTAAATTGAAGTGCTCAAGATAACTGTCTCTTAAAGGTATCTATCTGTACTCATTTTACAATCCAGGGAATGTATTCAAAATTATCTGCGAAGGATTAATGTTTGCTTACAGTGTTTGTATTATTTTACACCCTGGATGACACTGTACATGCAAAAAAAGCTAGTAAGTATTTATTTTACTTTGCCTAAGTATTTTAAAGAGCATTAGGGTTCATCTGCCAATTATTTTACTACCACAATGTTAAAAAAAAAAAAGTAAAAAAAAGCTGAACAGCTAAGCATGCTTCTCCCCCCAAGCAATCTATCCATTTACAATACATTTTCTTTTTAAGAATCATCAGGAATTAAAGTTCAAATATATAAAAAATTGAAATACAGGCTCGCTTTGAATTTATAGCTCACATTCAATTTATAGCTCACATACAATACAGCAACCGTAGCACTACAGAAAAGAGATCCAACATCTACAGAGGTACAGGAACTAGTGCATGCATCTAATCCAAAACCTTGACATTTCTTCACAAGAGCAGTGTTTTCACCCCAATTTTGTATAAAAGACTTTTTTTGTATAAAAGTAACTTTTCCAACGTTTTACATGGAGCCCGTGGCAGAAGTTGGAGCAAAGTCTAAATGGCCATTAGGCTGCAGGAAAGTTTCATGCATGATGGCTGTATGAAATACCCTTAAATCATCTGGAGAAACATAACAGGAATTAAGCTTGCTTTTGACAAAATTCAGTCCAGCTGGCTGCATTTATCATCATTTGCAAGTTCAGAGCCAGAATTGACCCTACTGGTATCACCAGCATCTTCCAAATAACACTGTGCAAAGAATATGATTTGATACTATATTTAATTACCTTTGTTACTGAAGATATTCTTTCCACATTCAAGAAGACAGCTGTCACGTGGGGTAATTTTTTAATCTTTTCTAGAAGATGGATTGCCAATACAAAATGCAGAGTTAAAGGTCGATTCTCTTTTTGAAATATACAGAATATAAAACCACTTTGCACTGAGCACAGAGCTCGTAAAACACCAAATGACATCATACTCCTTGACCACAGAACAGTCGTACTTGCACTGATTTCACACTATGTCAAAAACAGCTGCCCTTCTCACTTATGCCAATCACTTCAACATAGAGATTAAGTTGCCAGACATATTTTCAAATAAGTGTGAGTATAAGTATAAGTATGAGTCAATTCTATTTGGTGTTGCTTTTGTTACCTTTTAAAAACACCACTTTGATTTGTTAGCAAAGCTATTGGATGGATTACAAAACTCCTCTACTCTTCCTCAGTGTTTATACCTATCCTCAAATAGTTCAGCTATAGAAGGTTTCCTCTGACAAAGATGCAGTGCTGAAAAATCTCAGTTCTTACCTGTCAAAGCCTCAAAGTTTCCTTTGCCAAAAATGAACTTCTTGTCAGGATTTTTGGTAGGAATAATTATTTTATCTAAAATTGTCCAGTTCTGAAGGGTATCTACAAGAGCAACGGCTTCAGCAACCTGTAATTCAGCTTTAGAAACACACACACAGAAAAAGGAAAAAAAAAAGATTGAAACCTATCAGTTGCTTAAATTTCCAGTAACTACAAGACGTGCAGGAACAGGGAAAGATTGTAGTCAACACCTAAATTCTACTAATTTAACTATTTCAAACAGCAGCATAAGGAGCTGTTTAAACTCATAGTTTGATGTAATTTTACTACACAAAAGCATCTTGCTGCCACTGTAAATTATTTTTATGGTTCTTGATTTTGAAGAATTTTGGATTTTATAATCAAGAAAGCCTTTTGCCTAAACAGTGTGCTTTAGTCTTAAAAACTAAGACGAGTAATTGGGTTTAAAATAAACTTACTTCAGACGAGCACAAAAATATGTGATTAATTCCTTGCTCTTTTGTAGCAATATGTAAAGAATTATTAATACTGCAACTTTGCTGTCTTAGTTTCAGCTGGGATGGAATTGTTTTCTTCAGAGGGTTTGGTATGATACTGTAATTTTGATTCTAGAAGAAAAACAATGTTGACAACACTGATGTTTGTAGGTGCTGCTAAGCCGTGTTGTATACAGCAAAGGCCACTCTCAGCAAAGGGCTTAAGGAGCTGGGGGGAAAAAAACTAGGACAGCTGACTTAAACTGGCCAAAGGGATATTCCATACCATATGACATCATGTGGAAGGAGTTTTGAAGGGGGGAAAAGTTCATCTCACTCTGTTCTGCTTTTTGGTGGGCTAGCTGGGCATTGGTCAGGGAGTGGTGAGCAACTGCTTGTGCAGCACTTATTATATACATTCGTATATACATACATTTATGAATGTATAAATACGTATATACATGATCATATCTGTTATCCTTTCTTCTGGCTTAGTAAATAGTTTTATCTCAACCCATGAATTCTACTTTTGTTCTTTCCAGATTCTCTTCCCCATCTCACTTGGAAGGGGGGGATTGAGTGAGAGACAGCGGGGTGCTCAGCCACCTGCAGGGTTAAACCACAATTGCTGGTGTGTTAGCAACAACGTTTCCTCCTAGAACTGCAACATAGCATCATACCAAACACTCTGAGGGTAACAACTAAGATACCCAACGCTAACTCCACTGGCACTTGTTCATGTAAATATCTACACTGATTTCTGACGTGCTAAGGGCACAGATTTCAATCTTGTTCATTTTAAATATCTCCGGTGCAAAGCCCTGTACAAAATAACATGGGCTACAAGGGTCTATCAAGAGCAGTAGATTCAGCTGCTATTATTCTGTACAACTGGACCGAAAGGTGCCTTTATATGAAGGCCACTCCAAAAGTAATGCTTTCTATTTAATGAAGTTGGCCCATGACGTCAGAAGCAGATGTTAATGGTATGGCAGTTGAAGTTGGACCTTCACACCAGTGTTCCATTACATATGGTTGCTGTATGACAGATGGCAGCAGAGGGACAACCTGACACAATAGCGTCTAACATGGAAGTGCAGATGAAACAAATGTGTGTCGCTGAATTCCTCCATGCTGAAAAAAATGGCACCCACTGACAGTCATCAATGCATGCTGAGCATTTATGGAGAGCAAGCAGTGGACATGAGCACAGTGATGCAGCAGGTGGTGCATTTCAGCAGTGGCATGAGAGATGTGAAAGATAAGCCACATTCCAGATGGCCATGCACATCCGTCTCCTTCACTGGTGCAGATTTTTTTGCTCGCAGCATGCAGGCTCCTGAACAGGGCCACTAGGGATAGGGACTACAGCTACACCAGGTTGTGCAGAGCCCCGTCCAGCCTGACTTTGGGCATCTCCAGGGACGGGGCACCCAGCACATCTCCGTGCGACTCGTGTTCCTAAGCGCACAAAACCACTCCTTCACTACCCCGATAACTTGCCTAAGGCCGCTCGTTCCCTGCTCTGCCCTGCTGACAGAGCGCAGCCCGAATGGCTACAAGCCCTTCCCGCCTGCCCCAACCCCACAGGAGCATCGGGAAGGCTGCAGACGCCGCCTTCCGCCCGCCCGTCGCTCCCACCCACCCGTGGTGAGCAGCGGCTTCTTCGGGCCCCACCTCACCGCCGGCTGCACCACAGCCACGCGGTGCGCTCCGAGCTGCGGCCCGAGCGGCGGGGGGCCGAGCAGCTCCTCCAGCTCTGCGTCATCTTCTTCGTCCTCCTCCTCTTCCTCATCTTCATCGTCGTCATTATCATTATCATCATCCCCGCTGGCACCCGCTCCTCCCTTCCACCGCCCACTGCCGCCCGCCCGCCCGTCCGGAGACCGCTGAGGAGCGCACAGGCGGAGGGCAGCGGCGGCGGCAGAGCCGAGCGAGCGGCTGTACGGCGGTTTCAGGGGGCGGCGGGCCGCGCTCAGCGCCCGGCGGCAGCGCAGCAGCAGCAGCGGCGCCCGCGAGAGGCGGCCGGGCCCCATTGCGCGACCTCGACGAGAGGGCGGGCCGTAACGGAGGCCGCGCGGCAGAGGCGCTCCGCGAGTCTGCGCGGCCCGCCCCGCGTGACCGCCATCCCTGCCGCCGATTGGCTGAGGGGCGGCCGTGATTGATGCCGGGCTGCGGGGCCGGGACTCGGGTGGCTGCGGCTGAGGAAAGGGAGGCGGCTGAGGAAAGGGAGGTGGCGTGGGCGCGCGCTCGGCCGTTGGGGCGACGTCCCCTCACGGCGGGCAGGTGAGTGAGCCCGGCTTCCTCTTACTCCTCCTCGTTCTCTTCCCGCTGCCGTCGGTTGGGCCGCGCCCGTCGCCTCGGCATTCTCGTCCGGTTCCGCGTAGGCGCCCGGGCCCGGCGGGCTGGTGCCGTTACCTCCAGGAGAAGAGGCCCGCGTAAGGGACGCAGGGACGGGACGCAGCTCCTGTGGGGCTCCTGCCGGCTGCAGGCCTCCCAACCCCGGACCTTCCTCTTTGAATTCATTTCTCTCCCGGAGCTGCGTTGGCATTTGGAGGTGTTAATGAACTAATGTGTAATTAACCTTTCTCGTTTTTTTCTCTCGACAGTTTGCTGCTGCTCTGCCCGCAGGAGCCGCGGCGGAGAAGCGGTGCCGTTAATTTGTGAGCGCGGCCAGGTTAGCTCGCTGCCTGTGCTGCTGAAAGAATGCGGTGGAAATGATAGCCGAGCCCAACGCAGCCTGTAACCTCCCCAGCCACAAGTAAGGCCCGACACGGTCTCTTGGGTTTTGTGTTGTGTGGGTGCCAGGGTTAATAGGGGTATTTCACAGAATCACAGAATGGCCAGGGTTGGAAGGGACCTTAAAGATAATGAATCTCTGACCCCCCTGCCACATGCAGGGCCACTAACCTCCACGTTTAATGCTAAACCAGGCTGCCCAGGGCCCCATCCAACCTGGCCTTGAACACCTCCAGGGGCGGGGCGTCCACAACCTCTCTGGGCAGCCTGTTCCAGCACTTCACCACTCTCTTTGTAGGGTATTTGTGATGTACTGAGGCTTGTTACCAATGTCTGTGTTTTATTATCTTCAATGTATTGTTTAGCATCCTCTAAACGTGGTGTTTTGTGCTGGTCTTGGTCTTGTTTCTGTGCCTCATTCATTGGAGTGCAAATAAACCTAGCCCGTATTAGATATTAGGAGGAAACTCTTCACTCAGAGGAGCTGGCACAGCTGCCCAGAGAAGCTGTGGTGCCCCATCCCTGGAGGTGCTCAGGGCCAGGTTGGATGGGGCCCTGGGCAGCCTGAGCTGGTGGGGGGCAGCTCAGTCCACAGCTGGGTGGGCTGTGGGGTTCTGTCCAACTCAACCATTCTGTGATTCTGGGAGTAAAGATGGACAGATTTGTAGTCTTGGCATGTATGTTCGCTTCAGTAATGTTTAGAGTGCTGAAATGGAAGAGTGCTAAGTCAATCTGTAGTCTGCCTGTTGGCACTGTGTATTCCTTTCCAACATAGGGCATAGAGAGAAGATATACTTGTCCATAGTTGCTTTCACAGGGATATGCAAGTCTTCTGCCTTTCAAAGCATGTGTTTTTAAGCATCAAGTTGAGGTGATTTATGAATCAAATTTGCTCAAATTACTTAAAGGATGGAACAAGGGAGTAGAAAGAGCAGATATAGAAAAGTTGATAAGTGTGGGCATATCCTGTGTAGGTTTCAAAGAGTGAAACTTCTTAGGTATCCAGTATTAACTGTTTTGGACTCATTGTAGCTTGTCCTTTGCTGTTCTGGTCGCCTTCTGAGCAGGCACACTTCAGGTTTTTTGCTTCCCTAAGCTTTTGGATGTGCCCTTAGTCCATGATGCCAATCAATGTAGCTTGCCAAATGGCTTTTTCAGAATGTTTCATCTGTAGTCAACCTTGCAATGTCAAAAGTGGCAGGAAGGCACCTGGCAATTGTTTAGCTGAACTTCTGATGTTGTCTCAAAAAGGTGAAGAAGTTAATTGAAAAATTATACTGGTAGGATTTGTTCAGTAAAATTATACTGGTAGGATTTGTTCAGTAAAAAAATACAATTAGGAATGTAACCTCAGTGTTAAGGAGGTAGCTTTCTTTCTGAGTCTCTAAGTCAGCTCGAAACATTTATTATGTTGGGAAAACTGAGCTCGGAAATTCTCACAGTAGCGTTGTTTGAGGGCTGGAAGAAGGGCTTTGCTTCCTTCCTGCTTCAGGAGTTTTTGTTTCATCACTAAGGCTTCTAGTACTTGTGAAAGGACTGTATTGTGGCAGGAAGACATGGTGAAAGTGCACCTTTGAGGCACGTGTAGCAGGGTCTAAAGGTCAGAATTATGATGAGATAGGAGTGGCATTCTGCCTGTGCTTTCTTACTGATCACTGACAAAATAAATGGTTGGGAAGTGTTCCTTACTTGTGCGCAAGGCAGTGAGTTGAGGTATGTCAGAATGTTTGAATAGGTGCAAACTAACATGTGGAGAGAAAGAAAACAACACGTTGCTTCAAAATTTGTTGTACCTCCTGTTATTTCATGTAACTGAAAAGGTGTTATAAATATTGTTATGCATAAGGATCGCTGCAGTAATAATTGTGTCATCTTTAGGGTTAGATACAGTAGTTCCTGTTTTGCTTGAGAAATTAAGAGACTGTCTTAATTCTTTTTTGCAATTTCTTCTAAAGAAATTATGCAGATAAAAAAAGACATAAATGGAAATACTTAATTTTGGAATGGCTTTGGTTTGTAGACTCTGGTCTAGTTGGGGCAGATGTTTACCTCCCTTATGAATAGCATTGCTGGAAATATCAATACTAGGAAAAAAAAAAAAAAAAAAAGAAATAAATATGAGTACTGATCATATGGCATTGGAAATATCTCTGCCAAAATTAAATGTTTCCAGGTATGGGGATTTTTACAGCTAAATATAAAGGAGCCAAATGAGATCTAAGGGCTTTTCAAAGAATGCAAGTCAACGTAAAATATTTGAGAATTAAAGGGTACATTAAATGCAATATAACATACTAGTCCAGTTCATAATGAAGTTTGTACCAAAGTGAAAATGTCCTTTTTTCCTTCCAAAGCAGGATCAAGCTGTGAAGGCTCTTAGTAATTTTTTTTTCCCCCATGCAGTTTTATTGTATAGGGGCTTATGATGTGGAATCTCTTAAAGTAATTTTTAAGTGCTGTGGTGCACTGATAGCCAAAATGATTCAGAAACTGAATGGCTTTTTAGTACCTCTTTAGTGCTTAGTTAAATTCCTTGGTTGTTCTAGGCAGTGCTTAGCACTGTGTGAAAGTTAGTCTGACTGGTTTCATCGCAGAGCTGTAGTTTTATTGGAGTTGTTAGCCCACATGAGGAAGTTGTAGGTCAGCAGTCTTCTCATTATGGCTGAGCTTTGGTAAGCCTGCTATTCCATGTACCAAGCATTCACTGACTTGGTTAACCCTTTTGCTGCTGGCAGATTTTGCCTGGCATAAGCTGACCAGAGTAGCAGCACAGGATCAGCGGACTGTTAGGTGGAAGTGTTTTTTCTGTGTGCATAATGTTTGCACGCAGTCTCAGGACCTCTGGAGGCTCTTGGGGAAGAGCTGCATGAGTTAAAGCTTCAGTGAGGTATAATCTAGATGGAGATGTTAAAAGCAGCATGTGTTCAGACAAGTGCTTGGCTGAAATGTCCTGCAGCAGTGTTTTTTTTCCTCTCGTTACTTAAATATTTTAATTCAGCCTAAACTTGAGAGTATGTTGCATATTGTATTGTGGTAAACTGCAGAAACAGATAGCGTGTAACAAAATGCCAGTTAACATCTGAGCTGTAGTGCTAGTACAAGTATAAACACGTTAGTCCAGCAGTGTAATGTTGTATATTGTTAAAAAAAATTAGAAATGAAAATGTTTAATCACATAGCAGAGGCAGCGCCTTTACATATAAGGATCGTTCAGATCTTTTTTATTTGTGGCCTGTAAAATAATCTGAGAAGAACTAACAGGCATTAGAAAAGCAAAACATCTTGTTGCTTGTTCTTTTGAAGCAGGAAGTTTTTGGTAGCGCTTCAGATTCAGAACTCTGTGGTTCTCAATTACAAATCAAAGGGAGCATTCTGAAAACTGCCAAGTGTTGTTTACGGCATGCTGACTTGGTTGTGAAGTACAGTTCTTTCCTTTTATTGCATGCAGAAATCTAGACAACTGATCTAAAGATTGGTTTGTCCTAATTTATTTTCCTGGCTTCCATCTGTCAATAGTATAGTACATTCTAAACTTTTCTGTAAGGAGAAGTTCATGGGATGTAACTGGATTTTTCTCTGTAGGAGATGTACACGTTTGCATGATTTTATTTAGAAATTGGATATATTTTAATGGAGTCTGGACAGCAACATAGGAATCTTCAGAAGTCCAGTGCTGCGTCACTTACAGGACAGCGTTCCAATAAATTCAAGAAGCAAACAGAGCCATGTTTAGATAGAAGTTTCTCACTACTAAAGTAACATCAGGACCTGCATCCTGCAGCTGATGGTACACAGCCTTGGGATTTGCTTTGCAGAGTCATTATCTGACTGAAGCTGTCTTTGGAAGATGGATGGTGCTTGTCTGGCATTGATAAACCTAGCAGGACTCAAGCTGGCTCTGCATCCGTAGCACGCTTAATTCTCCATCTGGGTATTGGAGAATTGACTGTATCTGACAGTGTAATACACTGTTGTGTTCTCTGTAAAGTGCTCGCTTGTGTTAGTATGCTCTCTTGTTGCAGCAGTATCATGAACATTTAAGTGACTGTACACTCTCATATTTACTTTCTTTTTGTGCCTTCTTATAGTACAAGTCAACTGGCTTCATGTCCTGGCCACCGTAGTTTAAAAGGAGGCCATAGCAGCCAGCCACCAGTACTGGACCTGCTGCACAAGTGGGATCTAGCTCGCCTGCTCAAACATGACCTTTCGCAAAGCATATTGTTAGCATTGGGAATGCTGAAAAATGGCATGATTTCATTGCAGATAAATGTATGGCTTCAGATCCCCCAAAAGG